CTGGTTCTTAAGTTTCGCTCCGGAGTGGAAGGAACGTTGTCCTGCAGACAAAACACATGTGATGGGCAGTGTGAGGACCATGCACACGGGGGGCCCAAAGACCAGCTTTGATGAGGGGTGCAGCTCATTCTCAGGGAGGTCCTGTGGTACCTGTGCCCCACCTCCTGCACCCACAGCTCCACACACCTGCTCCAGGGGCCACAGGAAGGGGAAGGAGGGTGGCAGCAGCTGGTGCTGATATGCCAGGAACATTTCTGAGTCTGACAGGAAGGACGCTGGGTTACAAGAGAGATGAAGGGGACTGCCCAGGGCGGCGTGGCCGGTGAGCTGAGAAGCTGGGGCTCACTCTCCTTGTGGTCCCCTTGAAGGGCGAAGGCTAACCCAGGAAGTGGAGGACAGGGGTGTTTCCAAGGGAGCGAGACTAACAGAAACACAGAGCTGATCTCAGACAATAGACTTCACAAGCCAGAAGTGGACTCAGTCAACCCTTTGCACTCTAGAGGGTTCCTGCTCCTCCCAAGTCTTTGCTGTAAAGCAGTCAGACGCCGCTTCGTCCTGTGTCCCCGAACTGGACTGAGGAACCACTGGGAAGTGGGCACGAGTGCTCCCATGGCTCCAGGGGTCCAGCTATTACCGGCACAGTGAGGGGGCACCAGGACATGGAGCTGGTGTCCCCCAGGCCTCTGGGGCCACCTTCTGAGACCCAGAAGCGATGGTTTGTGCACCCTCCGTTCCAACCAGGGACAAAGAACACTGGCCTATCCTGGCCCGCGGTCTGCACTTGGCATCCCCAGTGGTGAATAACAACCAGGAGCAGGTCTCGCCTCAGCAGGCCCACCCAACCTTGCTGGTGGCCAAAGAGACTTGGGTCCTGTCCCCTCCCCTCCCCTTCCCAAGGAGAAGCGCCCTCTGTCTTCCACACTGGACACTGAAGCCTTGTTTGTGGCGTAGGAGAAAGGAGATGGGAAAGCAGAAACGAGAACCCCTCCCAATTCCCAACAAAATCGTCAACTGACTTCCCATAGCTTCTCGGGAGCCTGTCTCAGAAGCAGGACGGCATCCATGCCAGTTGCTCTGTGCTGCAGTTGCCAGGGCACAATGGACAGTGGGTATTTCGGGAAAGCCAGCTTGCCTAACCTACGGTCGAGCCTGGTGGGGCCCGGAGAGCCTGGGCTGGGTGATCGGCTGCAGCTGCGTGTCCCCAGCTCACAGAGCAGTTTCAGGTGCCCACAGAGGGTGCATCGGTGACAGCATCCACCGAGTCAGAGGCCATGGCTGCCACTCACTGGCTCAATCTCTGAGTCTCTACTTGAAGCCTCACAGGGTCGCTGTCACCTCCAGGAGGAGCGGGACCATCCACGTGTCTGCCCGCCCAGCCCTGGCCCTGCAGCCACGTTGTGCTTCAGCCTGTGTTTATGGGACATCATGGCAGTTACCGGAGAGGACAACTGTAATCGAAACAGCCGAAAATAACCGCTGGCAGGAAAGCCTGTACTTAGAGTGGACCTCCTTCAGTGGTTCTCATGCCGGCGTTAACAGCCCAGGCCTGGCTGGCGCGCTGGACCGACCACCCTCCTTCCTCTCCGAGGGGATGGCAGAAGCCCCGGAGAGGCCGTTCCTGACTCCACCAAGGCCCAGTCCCGCAGGAGCAGCCCGTCCTAAGGGGAGGGCCACTGGGCCAACGGCTCTGTTCCTCTGAGCCCACCAAGGAGACTGCCAACTTCTGCCGTCTTCTGCTCCTGCACTAACATCTCCTGCGCACGGACACCAGCGAGAGCTGTAGCAGCACACGCGAGGCGCCTCCTCACCATGCTCAGGGTGCAGCCCCTGCCCCCAGTCCTTCCTGGGGCCACGAGGGTTCACGGGAGCCCCTCCCCCCTCCATCTCCTTCTGGAGCGAAGGGGCGAAACGCCAAGAATTCAGCTAGTGTCAAATAACTGGATGGAGGCTCCGAGCCAAACGCGGTGCTGCTTCAGGAAGATGTTTTAAGCAGCTGGACCGAGACATCACACGGTATGTGATTTATCTACCAGGGTTCACTGCTGAATGTGTGCAAATCAAGTTTCTGGTGCTTCACAGAGCCATGTAACTGATTCTGGAACATTTCATCACCCAAACAGAACCCCCAAACCCAGAGCCACTCTCCACCCCCACCCAACGTTGTGATTTTTGCAGTTTATTTAGCTTATTTATCTGCAGTCTATTTATGCAAATGTAAGCAAATATGAACAGAGATTCTTACCGTCGCCTTCCATTACGGAGGGCAATGTAGCACACGCAGTTTTGAACTCTGTGTTGTCCACTTAATATGTCTTGAAACCCCTGGAACGCGTCATCTTCCTGGCATTTCTAAGAAGCTGCCCAGTGCAGCAACAACCATCTGGGCCAGGAAAGTCCTGGCTGGGGTCACGCCTGGTGGGCAGACAGAGAGCCACAATGCACGCTGGCTCACCCTCCAGATGCTGTCGTCCAAGGAATTTGCCATCCTAGGCCATTTCCTGACGTTCCCCCTCAGGCAAACAGAGACTCTAACCCATGTGCCGGGCAGTACGTGTGCCCAGGGCTTGCTTTCTTCGCAACTACAGCCGTGGGAGGAGACACAAGAGCACAGGCTTTGGACAGGCAGATCCAGGCACAGGTTGGACCCTGGCAGTTCTCTGGGGCTCAGGTTCTCCTTTGTGAAAGAGACAGCCCAGCCCCACATTATGGGCTGGGGGAGTGGTGGGCAGGGGGAAGGGTGCTGTGGGGTCTGTGGGCGAGGGTGCCCTGATTCGTCCGTGACGACCGCACAGCCCCTGGACCCTCACTGGCCCCTGCAGCCCACACAAGAAAATCACTGCCCACGTGCAGAAAATAGGGCTCACGAGTGCCTGTCTGTAACACAGACTCAGAAACGCCTGTGAAACACACACCATGTGTGCAGCCTGTCACCCCCCTCCGCCCCACCCACACCCGTCCTAGGAATGCTCAGCAGTCACTGGCCAGGCCAGGCAAAGCATCTGGAGAACAACCCTGGCAGCAGGGGGGC